GAGGTTTTTAAAGTCATAATTACAACAAAAGCAATTATAAACTATTATTACAAGATATAAATATTTTAAAACAAGCTTTCTCATAAAATGTAATTCTACCAGTTTTTCTTCGGTAAAACAATACGAATCCCCATAGATATACGGGGGGAAGGTCCCAGGGGGTCACGCACCATGAAAATTATGGAGGAAGTTTAAAGTTTAAAAATTATTCAAAATTGTCAGATTAGAACTGGTCCAGCTCAAATTATACTGTTCTACCATTTCCCTAAGAAAAAGACAGATTCTAGAAGACAGAATAAATATACAAAATTTATAGACAGTCCAACTAATGAATTTTCAAGTTTTTGTATGCATATCATAATTTCACAATACTTTTTCTGTTAATTTCATTGAAAATTTAAGTTATTCTTTGCGGTAATGTTAATGAAGATTTTATACGACGGAAAGATTTTGAGACTTAAAAATTCTGTGTTCAAAAACAAAAGAAAATAAGACCTTTTCCATAAATAATAAAAAATAAAATTAAAACCCACTTACCTTTCATCCACGATTACAGACTTTTTATATGTATTCCGGATGTATACATAGGTTATACAAATAAATACAATAATTGTAAAGATACAAGATACGGTATAGGTATATTCTTAAGAATAAAACAACTATACCCTCGGTTCATATTTATTTTCTCAACTGTTAATAGGTATATCACAATTTATTAATTCATAAAGGTAAGTAATCACTTTAAAGATTGACCTAAGAAGAAACTAACATAGTAAAATATATATCTATGTTTAAATTATTAATTTTTTCGAACTCTTCGCGATATAGAATTAACTTTTACACTAATATGCCAAACTATGGCAATTTTTAAAAAGAATTCGAATAGTGAAATTTTAATTAGTTCCATAGTATGAATTTATTAGAACGATTTTATGCAAATTGCGCTTTTTATCTTGAAATTTAATTACTAGCTTTATGTTCCTCATTAATTATTCATAACAAATTTACGATGACTACAATACGCAAGAGTAGTTTTTGATTTAAAAAAAATGTTCTTCTGCAGTAATAAAACTTCTATTGTGAATATTTATCGGTAAAACCTGAATGCTTTTCTTCTTCTCCTATTAAATAGGTTTGTTTTGATTCATTGACAATCAAAGAAAGGAAATTACTATCAACAAGTTTTTTGTATGACGACAGATTTTCAGATTTAATCGTTCAATGAAGCATCGAATTTACAACATTTGTACTTTTTAATATTAAAATAGTTCTAAATTGATTTTGAAAATTCAAATTAATTCATAGATTTTTTTAATGGTCTGGTTCTCTTGGTCTCTTCAAAAATAAATTTTTGATACCCTTTTAGAAATTGCCATATGACGATATGGAGTCACTTAAATTGACCTCTACCTCCCGACTTCGCCCTTTACTTACCCCAACTCACGGACGTCATCAAATGCCTCCTTCTGGACCATCTCCAAAAGAACCTACTCCATTGACTTCAGTTCCCATGGCTAGAATATTACTTAATAGACGTCAGAATTCTAACACCAGCAACAGTCGCGGCTGATCGCATTATGGAACCTTGGACAGAAAAATGTGTTAAATAAAACCTGTTTGCACAACTGATAACGCATACACGACTTATACATGTGTAATTTCAACTATTGCAATTATGCAAGAGCGTCACTTGTTTTTCTTTTTTTCTTTATTTTTATACATATCTACATGACCAGGTATCATTCAAATGCAAGTATCGTCCGTCAAGGTAAAGGAAAAAAATTGTAACAAATCAACTCAAGGACAAGAAATGACTACGGCGATGGAAAATTAAAAAATAAATAAATAAATAAAATATGAGTACGTATAAATACATTTTTTAGAAGCTAAAAAGCAAAACCATCCGTTTTGAATTTCCTTTAAAAAAATACTTTTTGAAACAACCTGGAGCATCAAAATTAAGTAAATATTTACCAAAAATTTTTAAATTTATCCGATTTAGTAAAATTTTGTGTACTTATTACAAATAACTACACGAGTATTGTTTACTTTTATACTTTTTACTCTTGCTACTTAAAAGTTCTACTTATTTTAAATAGATTTTAGGAATTTAAACCCTATACCGAAAGTGTATGCATTATCATTACAATGTTCTATATATCTACGTACGTATACGATCTACTTATTCTGTATTTCTACGATAGAAATAAATTTATATTTTGATCAATTAGCATAAACCCTAAGAAACTGTTTTGTGTTTTGAAATTTAAATAATAGTATTAATCATAAAGCTGTAAAATGTTAAACATGGTTAATAAATGCGTTAATAAATAATCATCTATTGTAGCTAATTCTACAGCAATTATTAATATTATTTATATGACAGCTAAGAGTAATGTGTAAAAATGAAGTGTTAAGTTAAAAAAAGATTGACAAAGTAAGTCGTTAAATTAGTTTATAATGTGGAGATAAAATGTATTAATTTTTAATTTATATGATATGAAAATTTAATAATCAGTTTGTCGACATATATTTGAAATGCATCTAAAAAGGTATGTACGATTTTTTCTGTTGTAAATAATAATTATATTTGCATTAAATGCCAAAAATATACATTGTTTTGTAATAAGTGTAACTGAAATAATTTGGAATAAATAATTTTTGCCGGTACCATTAAAAATTACAATTACTTAGCACTTAGGCATCTGAACAACAACATTTAATAATTGAACAGGCTCTTGGGTATTGGGAAAACAAAATTGAAAAACCAATTAGACCATTGTTGATTCGCGACGTTTCGTCTCTATTTCTTGAGACTTTATCAAGCTCTGAAAAACAATTACAAAACATTCTTAATATAATGTATACAGGTTAATTAGTTATATGTTTTGAAAATACCTTCCAAAGCTTAATAAAGTCTCAACACATAGAGACGATTCTTACGATTTCTACGGCAAATTCAGTCATTTAGAATCGAAAATTGTAATTTTTCAGTTGTTATAAAAATTTAGTTTTCTCCGTGAACAAATGTCTAATTGGTTTTTCAATTTTGTTTTCGTAATACCCACGATCCTGTCCAAAAAGGGAAGTGATTTCATCATAATATTACACATTCTAAAAGTTACCTATAAAATTAAACTTTTCACGGAAAAAATCAATACCAAAGAGACATAAATCGCTTCAATATCGTAATTTACTCGAGTTCTTAGTAGTGTAATAATTTTGTCCTTTTTCGTTAATTTGTTAGGTGTAAATAAAAAAAAAACAGGTATAGAGCAACATAACAAATAGCTTTGCAAACACAATCGTTCGATTACATTACGAGTTATTCATCAGAAACAGAAGCTTGATTAGAAACAATTAACATATGAAAAGATTTACTTTCAATTTGTATCTGTATATCATGGTAATACGAATTTTAAGTTAAATATTGCTGCAATTGCTCTACCTGTTGTTATTAGTCGCCGTTATTTAGTGGAGTAACTTTTCATTTACAACATTTGCGGTTGTGAAGTAACAGCTAATTAGTTGTACAAACAAAAATTTTAGGGACACGTTAAATAGGCACAAGGCTACGTTAAAAAATGTGTCAAATTAACTGTGTAAACAGATTGTGAAAAAATATGTATGTATATATATTGTAACACCATCCTTGCGAGAGGTAAAGTATATTTTTTAAATAAACAAAATTATATTCGTTATTAATGTTGTCATCTTATTAAAAAAAACATGAAAAGGTACGCTTTTTAACCTCTGTAGGTATAGGTATATATAACAGCGAAACTTGGTTGCATAATAGAATAACCACCAGGACCCAATAACCACAACTATTAATAAATTTTTAAAGTTTTTTATTTAAATTAAGTTTTCATAGTGAACTGGAAAATGACACTTTCTTGCAAATATCTTTCATATTTGTCTCATTCATCGACATAAACCTTTCGTAAGTATTAAATGAAGTTAGTACAATTCTAATTCTAACTTGCCACGGTGACAATAATTGTTTTTATTCGGGTAAATTCTTTTGGTTATTTTATTATTTCTACGTCACATTCTTTTCGATTGTATAATATCGTTTATGGTTTAGGTACTTAGGTCGGTTATCCACGATGCCGGTCAAGCTACGGTCGGACGATTAAGAGGGTAAATTGAGACTGATCTCGATGGGATCGTAAGTAATATTTGCTACCACTGAAATTACGTGAATCGGTTAGCCAAATTCAGTTTCTTATTCCGGATGAAGTAGATTGCGTGCGATTAATATTTTTACTCAAAATTTCGACTTAACAGGCGCCGATTGCATCGTTTTTGGGAGCATACATACACCGAAGTAACAAATTTTATCACTTACATATGATGGCAGATTATCAAGTCTTTGTACCGAATGCCAAAAGAGAATTAGTGAATAATAAAGACAATCGATCGAGAATGCGATCTGATACTGGCGAAATTTTGATTGAAAATTTTAAAAAAAGATCTTCCACATGTTTACCGTTCTCTACACAAACAAAAAATATTAAAACGAAACATTCGTCGACGTTTTCTTACAGAAGACGGAGAAGTGTAACAGACAAAACAAGACCTTTTAACGTACAAAAAACTTGTAGTCTTTATCTAAAGTTACTCCACTAGATACCGACACAATTTATATCACACGGTATGCTCAAATTCGTGTAATTATTATAAACAAAGAGCAGAGACGGGTTAGTAGTTTAGCATTAACTGTTTTAGTTTGGTTGTGAGTGTTGTTTTTGTTAGAACAAAGAGCCACTTACTGGTAGATGAAGACATGAACATTAGTAGACACAGACAGAAGCCACACACGAGGGCACTCTTGCTGCAATTACCGCGTGTTCACAGGTAACGGTAATAATAATAATACATAATAATATTTAATATTATTATAGTCACGAGGTGCACATATGCATGTATATATATATATATAACACGATTAACGGATATTATTATTTAAGTATGTATGCAGAGAGTAGAGCAGCGAATCATTCCAGCCATGTGTATTTTTTTGGTGTAACTTTGGTATAATTTAATAATAGAAATCAAGGTACAATTCAATACATCATCATGCTGTAGATATATAAATCATCATGATCATCATTGGTAATATAGTAGTAAATAGTAGACTGAAACTAAAACATTATCACTCAACATTTACATATGGCCTAGACGGAGAAACTGAACAACAGAGGATGTTGCGCGCTCACGCCACCAAACACAGAATTTACATAATCTACTGAACCAAACAAACATAATAATCCAAACATAATAACACTTAATTGTTACCCGAACATCCTCTTCTTGACATCGTCATTATTAATTTACAAGGGGGGAGAGAGAGAGAGAGAGGTTACGGCGCTAAGGCCGGTTGCGTTTTTTGATATTAAAAAATATTTCACAGTTCATACGATTAGTAGCTAGTTGATCCTGAGAGGGGCCCGCGCGGACGCCACTGGCCTCGTGTCTCATCGCAGGCTCCGTGATTCGTGCTTTATCATTATACTTATTATCGCTATTGTTCTTGTCGTCAAGAAGGCTGTGCCGCGCGGGGTCGTCCAGCGTCGTATTCTCGTCTTTGGTCATCAGTATGGCTTCGAAGCCTCTTTGGCGCGTTTCAATTGCACCTTGAGTCTTTTGGTGCCTATTTGGAACCCGTTCATGGCAGATATAGCCGCTTGGGCCGATGCCGCATTGTCAAAGGATACGAAACCAAAGCACTTCGACAAATGAGTCTGCTTATCTATGAACACTTTTGCCGATATGACGGGACCGAAGGGCAGGAATGTCGACGCCAGGTCTGTGTCCGTGAACTCTTGCGGCAGGTGATAGATGAACAAATTGCAACCTTCGGGACCTGTAACCAAAAATAAAAATTCGATCACAAAAAAGCATTTCGGTGCTACACACTAGCAATGCGTCAATAAGTTCTATAGTTTCTTCCCTGCTGTAAAATGTTTACGTAGCGTTCTAATAGTAGAAACAAACAGAAATAATACGATTGTCAATAATTTACAAAAAAAATAGCATATGAACCGATCGATTATCACCAAAAAAAATGATAAAGAATCGAAAAAATCGATAAATATTGAAGGAAAACGTATGTTTCATAAATATGCACAACTTGTTGCTCTTTTGGATGAAGGACTACTCAATCCTGCGAATTATTGTTTCGATCAATTAACAGTACGACTATAATTGCACAATGAAAATAATTTACATCAATTTTACAATTAAACTAACAATAACTTCTAAATTGATAACAGAATAATTTCTTACGCATTCTCTTAAACTGAAAAATCTTCAAATCTTTCTACTATTACAGTCACTTGAGCAATGCAAAACAAAAAGTAGTACATATCTACTAATGAGAGTTATAAATTATGCTTAATTAATCCCAAATTGATATTAGCACACTTTCGCTTAATTAAAAAAAAAACAAATTCATGAGCAAAATTATGAATGCATCCACATCTAAAATTGCGTGAAATTAATTCATTTATGAATTCTAGCGTGAATTTTGACTGAATTCGTTAAACGGATTTTTTTTAATTGCCGACTAAGTATTCTAGTATTAATCAAAAATATACCAGTTGACGGTCGAAACGCAATAATAATGTGCTCATACTAAATTAACTAATAACGCAATAATCTTTAGGCTTGATTAGTCAAACCTATTACAGGTCCGCCACGCATCAGGCTTTGATCATAACACAAAATTTGACTACAAGAAGTTAAATAAGAAAAAAAAACCAGTGAGGAACATCGGTTTCGTACAAATAAGGAAAATTTGTTAACTTTTGGGTGTTTCATTTTCACTAACATTAATGGCTAGACTACGCCGGAAGGTAGGGCGGAAGGCCCTCTTCAGCCTCCTTTCAGGAATCGTGAGAATGGGTGGATGGTGGTTCGGGTGAGAAAGATGAGACGGACGAAATGAAGACAGAAGAGAATGAAAGATTATCTGTGGAATATTACTGCCTCAGCATTTGCCTAAGTGATCCAAGGAAATCACAGAAAAACTTGAACCAAGGCAGACGGACCCGGAATCGAACCGACGTCCTCCCGAATGCTAAGCAATGGTCTAAACCTCTAGGCCATGCCGCTCGGTACAAATAAGGAATGAGAAGTCTCCTTGACAATTATATTTGTTTCACTCGATAAAAGCAAAGTCCGTAGTAAATTATAGAACTGAAACAAAGCAATTTTATTACTCTCTTTAACATACTGCCCCCATACTTTTTAAATAAATCCTAATGATTAAGTTCATCTCTGGATAATCTGTAGTATAATAAAATATCAGGCTCTCTTCCAGATCAGTTATTATTTATTGTAGATTTTACTTTTCGAAATCAAGCAGTCTTAGGACTGACCACCTCATAATGATGAAATCAACTCGAAGAAGACGTTTTAGGTTTTGAAATTTAAATTATGATTTGATATTTGAATTATTCAGAATCTGCTCGACCTTAGATGATTTTAATCCCTCTGCCGGTTAATGAATGAACAGCAGTTACATCTTTGTGTCCTCTCATTTCTCCAAGACATAAAAACGCACAAAATAGCTCAAAGAAGCAAACTTAATTGCAGAATCTCTTTAGGTCTAGAGCTAGGGCACAGATGCTTAGAATATAAAATCAGCATTTTCTTGCGCTGGGGGCTATCCGCCATTAGAATTTTATTGGTAATTAAATTTTGTCTTACTGATGCTGGTCTCATAAAAGTGAACGACTAATAACCATTTTCATAACAAGATTTTGTAAAATAAAAGTAGCAAATATTTTACCGTGTTTCCGCTTTTGGTGTCACCAAACAAAGCGTGCCTTTTCTTATTATTTCAAAAGTCTATTAAAGTAATTTATTCATAAAGGCATGCATCTATTTTTTTTATGAATGAATAATAGAAAACCTGTTTAAAAGCTTTTAGTTTCATGGTTAACGGTAAATAAATAAAACCTCTATGTAACTACTATTTACCGAAAGTTTTCACTTTTGTTCAAAATTACGGCTATTTTTTACTACGAGTTACTATTTCTAATACAATACTTTTTAGTTAAATATACACGCCATATGTTAAGCATGCACGGTTTGGTTTACGCATGATGTTCCAACTGTTTGAAATGAAAATAAGTAAACAGCAATTACTATTATGAAAACAACATTTCCACTTCGCTTTTTGATCTTTCGCCTTTGCTTTATTTTTCCAAGCTTATGTATATCAACACATACTAATTATTGCGACCGATTCTTCATTAGAGACACAAAATGGAAGTTAATTTGTACACGGACGTTTGCTCTTTTTATCTATATTAAAGTTGAAACAACTGAAAAGTTTTTGATCACAGAAAGTGTTGTAATAGTTATATTAAAAAAAAAGAAATTAACCCCTCAACCCCCCTGACTACGGCGGTGCACACATGTACTAATGGCATGTAAGACTGTAAATAAACAATGAATTATAGATTTTCCTAGGTCCAGAAACAATAACCAACCGCTAAAATATTTTGAAGTCCCTAAATGTCGGCAAAGGTTTAGCACATATTGCATTATGCTCTTGATGTGTTTTAGGATCAAATTGAGTTACTAACGTAATTGAATTAAACTGGGGCAAGCGCTTGTAAAATAAGAATCAAATATTTCCCTTGAAAAGCGGAAAGTTATCCTTTTGTTTCAAAATGTCCTGAACCATCCACAAAGCTTATTAGCACGAGAGAGCTGTGGTCCAAGCCGAGGAATTAAATCTTGTAAACTAGCAGAGCATGAATGAACCAACGCAAAATGTGATAATCGCCACACTGACTTCAACAGAAGAGGTGGAAGAAATCCCGCGGGACCACAGGCTTTGGACGCCGCGCTGCTCCAGGATTGTACCACACAACGAACATTCTGGTTTATTTAAATTTTTGATACGGTACGGCACGGCTTGCTGCGGTACGTTAACCGCTGCTGACGGACGCTGTTCCTTTAGTCATTCGCGCCTTTTTAATAAATTCATGAGAGACAGACGTTGTTTTTGCAGCGAGAAAATCTGGTCTTTGCTTTGGTCGACGCCGCGAAAGCTTTAGCAAAAACACCAACGCGAATGATGCTACAAACTACCAACATTCATTATTACCGTGGCAAACAGTGGAATGAAACTTTTTCTAAACCAATCAAAATTAGTTACCCAACTCTGGAATAACAAAAATTCAGATCAATCCTTTTACTCGCAAATCTTTAAGAAGTCACAATTCTCTGCTACTGAAACTGAATACGATTTCTTCGTCAACATTGAATTAAACCTGAATCCAACCCTGTTGCTTTGATTCTTTTAACTTTTCTTCGGTAAAAAAATACAAATTAGTCAAAATTTGCCAAGTAACTGACCAACTTCAATCATTTCGAGTATTAGAGATGCACAGGATCGTGGTTTTTACACCTTTCGGATAACTGGGTACCCGGAATTACTTCTGAAATTTAATGTTTTTTTACATTGATGATAGTAAGATCGTAATTGTCGCTCCCCTGCTATCTAATAACTGACGATCTAATCTTTCTGAACCCATTAGAATCTAAACTTGATACATGACCGGAAAGATACCCGTCCCATATCTAAGTTAATGATAATCCTCCACACAACAGCTTCAAATCCGTACAGTGGTTTGTAGCAAAACATTTTCTTTTTTGTACTGTAGTACACAAATACAATTAACAACTGAATTAAGCAGAACAATTTTTAAAATTTTTGTGTTTAAATTTTTGTTAAAGATTATTGAAAACACCACAGGTAAGCTCATGAAAGAATAGGAGCAAATGCACAGGCACATAATTAATTTTTGGAATGGTCAAGGCATGTTGATGATGATCACCTACTCTTTCAAATTTTTGCCGTCAATGATACTCGCAATTGTTTTTTCTTTTAATGTTTTGCTCCACTGACCGACGACATGCATGTACGAAAAACGAAAGAGCAAGATTAAAAAGCATGCCTGGTTTATTTGTATGAATAGTCATTACGGTTTTTGTTCAAATGTGAGAGTATGCAGCGTGGGTTAATTTTTCTATGCTTTCTTCGTTTCCTGGGGGGTATTTTTCACAACGGTGATTACCTATCCTACCATTACGATATCGGCAGTGATACTTTAATAAGTCAATTAGGTACCTGCTGAGAAGTAATATGAAACTAAGCGAATAAAATAGAAAATAAAGCATATGATTAGTATTTACATACTTACAAAATTTTGTTGCATTGGGATTACCTTCAAAATATTATTCAAGATATAAGCATGCGTTCTAGAAGAAATTTCTTCTTCTGCCTCATCGTAAAGCGCATTATTTGCATGAGTGACCTGTTGCTGTGCAGTTTTATCGTAGAAATCGGCTAATTTTCTTTTAAAATCTTACAAATTCGAAATTTGTTTTGTGGTGACAATCGTTCTCTATCTTCCGCTATGAGGGCTTAACTACAACTTTTTTATATTTTTTGGGGCACGTCTCCCACAAGAATGAATATAAAAATATTAAACTGAAACTTACAAAATCTCTTCTAAGCTAGTTACCAGTTGCCCTATACATACGTACGTACGTCTATCGGGGGGTATAATTTTTTTTAAAAGACCATAGAACGAAATAAATTATGTTTTTAAGCGACGAACGTGCCTTTTGAATGTAAACTTTTGAGATAAGTTCGCGTGATTCATTGACACTCGAAACGAAACTTTATATGTAAAACAGGTTCGAAAAATACGAGATTTTAGATTCTGTTTCGGAGGAACAGTATGGGAGCACCTTTAAAATTTCATGTGTGCTTTTACTGCCACCAATGCCGCTTGCTTGCTGCACTAGCAACCGATTCATTGTTGTGTTCGGAGATTTATG